CACCAACAAATCGGAACAGTCTAATAAGTTATCCAAGGTGATGATTGATTGGCTAATACAGCCGTCTTGACATGTCAGTTTTAGACTTTGCTTCATGTGTCTGTATCTGCCTGCCCTAAACTGGACCCACATTTTAAGGGAAGGAGCAAGTGGAGTAGAGTTTACTGCCTTTGTTGGCTTTTGTTCATAGAGTATGTTATGAACGGAAGACTTTTAATGAGGAGAGTGGTTTCACTGCTTAATTTTGTCTTGCTTCATGTGCTAATTTATTCCCATTAATTACAAAACCCATATCAAAGCAGTTCTCCAGTCTCCGGAGGGATATTCTGCTGTGTTTCCCGGCTTCAGACACTGTTGTTGTTGGTGGTGGTGGAGGTTAATTTAGGAGGGATGGGGGCAGAGATGTTAAAGATGACATACTGCCTCAGCAGCCATATTTAAACACTAACCAGAGGAGTATTGTGCTGAAGTCTGCTAGTCTCCTGTCCATCCTCCCCTGTAAAGCCCTCTGCTGACTGACCTTTGACCTTTTGTGACATCTGATAGTAAACACTGACAGCAGCAGTGTCACGCTCACCTTCAATCACTGGGTCTGTATGCATTCAAGACAGAATGTTAGTGGGAGAAATCAGGATATGGTCCAGTAACCTGATAACTGTAACGTCTCCCCCTTAAACCCTGACCCTGAACTTATGTATTTTGGGGCCAAGATGTACTTATCTTAAGAATCTAATGTAGTATTTTTTTTTCTTGTGTTCTTTATAGCAACTGGATTGATAATGCAGTTAAAAAAACAATGATGTAATAAGAAGCAGGCCAGTACCGGATGTTTAAAAATATTATAGTGGTTTATTGGCCTCTATCTGTTTGCTTTCTTTACACATGTCATGATTTTAAGATGCATCAGCTGTCTTTGAAGGATGCCTTAGATTTAGTTATTAGGTAATCTACAAATAAAGCTTTTAAAGTGGTGGCATTAAAAACAAAACTGCAGCATGGCCTATTTGTTTTAAATAATGCATTAGAGGATTTCAAACTGTGAGGCACCTCCTGGTCAGTAGCTGGAGCTGTAATAGTGTCTGTAACACATGACATGAAACTTAATTATCTCCTTCTGTATGTTAGTGGTTCTCACTGTAGCTGTATTGGCATGGATGAATGACTAAATGAGCCGATTGGGCACAGGCCCAGGGGCCCAAGGATTTAGAGAGGCCATGGAAGACCCCACAAGGAGAAGAAAAATGACCTTAAAGAGATGCAAAACAACCACTAACAAACACATAACGATGCAAAACCACCACAAAGAGACGTACAGCAGCTACAATGACATGCAAAATGTCCTTAAAGAGATGTAAAAGAAACCACAAAGACACGCAAAATGACCGCAAAGTTATCCAAAATGGGGGACCACAAAGAGGTGCAAAATAATGACAGATGCAAACAAAAAAGGGGTGTGGGGGGTTGGTTCTGACATAAACCATCTATGTGTATTGGTACTGCACTACTACACAGAGACGTTTCTCAAAAGACAGTTGCCATGATGAACCAGCTCTTCTATGTCAAACTTTGTAGGTACAACAACCAAGATTAAAAGATGAAGCTGAGACTTGACGCAGACTCTGTTGTGAAACTGTTCTACAGTTGCGTGTAATGATGTGCAGAAGCCGGACAGTAACTGGGTTTGTCTCTGTTCAGCTGGTATGCGTGATGTTCTTGGCTGTAGCCGTGCCTCTGCACAGACCTGTGATTGTCTGATGTTTGAGAGTCGGCGGCCACCTCCACCCTGAGAGGCTGAGAGAGTCAATGCAGCTTTCTCACTTACAGTGCAGAGTCAGTGACCGTGGCGTTATAATGACATGCTGATTAGACGCAGGGCAGGCCGCCACTGTACTGAACAGAGTGCAGACTGTCCGAGAGCACGACCAGTTTAAAGGCCACGGCATTCCACTGGACTGGAGTCAGTCTGAGTCTGCACAGAAAAGGAAGAGCTGCTGGACGTCTCACTTGATGAGGTCGGAACCTTGGTCCTAACTGGGAGTGTGTAGTGGAGCCCCAGCGGTGACGGCTGAAAGGCCTCAGGCGGGAGAAGTGGAAGCAGGGAGTCTTTGTCTGGCAGCAGATCAAAGAGCGACTGAGTTGTATTCTTCAGCATCTTAACAGCAGACCGTCCTCTGACCCAGCCAAGGAAGTCAAGCCCAGGTCAGAGGCTAATGAAGATTCCTCAGGAGATCCAGCAGAGAGACACACAGGAGGATTTACGATCAGGTGTCTCCGTGTGTTGAATAAACTCTCTGCAGGAAATATCTCCTCCCTGACACTGGCTGGATTTCCTCCAGAGATACCAGCGGAGGGAGAGCGAGCTGAGCAATTGTGGTCTCCAGTCTGCCCCCACCCAGGCTGGGACTTTGTATCTCAGGGTCTGTCTTTGTTGTCCCTCCTGTCCTGCCAGTAAAACCACCCACACAAACACATCATATGCTAATCTATGTTGTAGTATTTACTGCTGAGTGTAAATTTATAGGAATGTGGTCACTTATCTTAAAATATCCTTCTTTTTTTATTTAGCTACAGTGGTGTGAAAAAGTATTTGCCCCCTTACTGATTTCTTATCTTTTTGCATGTTTGTCACACTGTAATGTTTCAGATCGTCAAACAAATTTATATATTAGTCAAAGATAACACAAGTAAACACATCATGCAGGTTTTAAATGAAGGTTTTTATTATTAAGGGAAAACAAAATCCAAAACTATAGAGCCCTGTGTGAACAAGTGTTTGCCCCCTAAACCTAATAACTGGTTGGGCCACCCTTAGCAGCAACAACTGCAATCAAGCGTTTTCGATAACTTGCCATGAGTCTTCCACAGCGCTGTGGAGGAATTTTGGCCCACTCATCTTGGCAGAATGGTTGTAAGTCAGCCTCCACAAATGGCGAAAACATGGAACAGTGGAGAACCTTCCCAGGAGTGGCCGGCCGACCAAAATTACCCCAAGAGCGCAGCGACAACTCATCCAAGAGGTCACAAAAGACCCCACAACAACATCCAAAGAACTGCAGGCCTCACTTGCCTCAGTTAAGGTGAGTGTTCATGACTCCACCATAAGAAAGAGACTGGGCAAAAATGGTTTGCATGGCAGAGTTCCAAGACGAAAACCACTGCTGAGCAAAAAGAACATAAAGGCTCGTCTCAGTTTTGCCAGAAAACATCTTGATGATCCCCAAGACTTTTGGGATAATACTCTGTGGACAGACGAGACACAAGTTGAACTTTTTGGAAGGTGTGTGTCCCATTATGTGTGGTGTAAAAGTAACACCGCATTTCAGAAAAAGAACATCATACAAACAGTAAAATATTGGTGGTGGTAGTGTGATGGTCTGGGGCTGTTTTGCTGCTTCAGGCCCTGGAAGACTTGCTGTGATAAATGGAACCCTGAATTCTGCTGTGTACCAAAATATCCTGAAGGAGAATGTCCGGCCATCCGTTTGTGACCTCAAGCTGAAGCGAACTTGGGTTCTGCAGCAGGACAATGATCCAAAGCACATCAGCAAGTCCACTTCTGAATGGCTGAAGAAAAACAAAATGAAGACTTTGGAGTGGCCTAGTCAAAGTCCTGACCTGAATCCAATTGAGATGCTGTGGCATGACCTTAAAAAGGCAGTTCATGCCCGAAAACCTTCCAATGTGGCTGACTTACAACAATTCTGCCAAGATGAGTGGGCCAAAATTCCTCCACAGCGCTGTGGCAGACTCATGGCAAGTTATCGAAAACGCTTGATTGCAGTTGTTGCTGCTAAGGGTGGCCCAACCAGTTATTCGGTTTAGGGGGCAAACACTTATTCACACAGGGCTTTGTAGTTTTGGATTTTGTTTTCCCTTAATAATAAAAACCTTCATTTAAAAACTGCATGATGTGTTTACTTGTGTTATCGTTGACTAATATTTAAATTTGTTTGATGATCTGAAACATTACAGTGTGACAAACATGCAAAAAGATAAGAAATCAGTAAGGGGGCAAATACTTTTTCACACCACTGTATGTGCTAATGATTCTTGTATCATGTGAAATCATGGAGGTCTTTATTCATCTAAACTACAGTCAAGTGTAGACCTGAAATGATTAGTCATTTAATTGATTAGTTTATTTGACAGAAACTTTATTAGCAACAGTTTTTACAACTGAAAAATACCAAACATTTGTTCCACTCCTTAGCTCACAAGATTTTCTGCTTCATTTTATTTTATGATGTATATCATTGAATTTTTCTGACTCTGGGAACATGTGATGGGCATTTTTACCCTATTTTCTGACACTTTGTAGACCAAATCCACAAAGTGTATGGCAGAAAAATAGTGAAATAATCATGGAATACATACCCAATAGTTGCAGCTCTAGTGCAGTGCACCTACTGGCACAGACTCGCCTCCTTTAACAGCCATTTTTACCTGTATGACTCATATTAGAGTCATTTTACTGGCATCTGATGTGATCATCATTCATGTCAAACTAATAGGAAGTGTGCATCCAAGTTCTTAATAATACAGTTTATTTTTAGACGGGTCACAGGACCAACATAAAAACAGACACCCATTCACACTCACGTTCGCACCTATCTTTGTTTCCGCAAAGTTCAGTGGAAGCTCAGTCTCTAAATGCTACAAAATGTGAAGTGGGAAAATGAGAATTTCTACACTTGGTGACTGGATGTTTATTAGTGAAATGCCCCTTGGGAGTCAGAGTTGACTTCTGCCTTCAGTTTGCACTGTATATCCCGCCTTTGACTTTATATAATCAAAGAACAAGACCATTTTCTAACACAGTTGTTCATCCTTTGGTCTGATTGTTCATGTCCATCAGAAACTGTCAGTCATGTAACTTCACCTATGAGAAAACGAACCTTTGCCGCAGGGCCTCGTGGATGCATGAAACACGAGTGAATGAACAGGTTCACTGTATCACATGATGGTCAACCACTATTATTGTGTGTTGTTGTGTTTTTCAGAGTTGCTGGGCTCCACCAAGAGACTGAACGTGAACTACCAGGACTCAGATGGGTGAGTATGAAGTCAACACAATGAAAAGATGTTCTTTTTTGGACATGTTTCTCATAGTGAAGCAGTTCTGTTCTGTGTCCAGTCATTACTCTGGTCCCTCTGCATCTATAAAACCTGTTTCCACTCCTAAATAACTGGTTCTGCTGCAGCAGAGCTCGTTTCTTCTCTGTCTGTATCCTCCTCCTCCTCCTCGGTCTGCTACCTCATCAGCTGGTGAAATGCTGACTGGTTCAATTTCTCCCTCGAAGCTCATGAACCTGGAAGGAGAAGCGGGTGAAGACAGTTTAGTCTGTCCTCATTAATATTTCCCTTTGTGAAAAGTTTTTATTATTCATACATTCTGGAGTTAATTTCTATCCTGGGATAGATTTAAACTGCATTATCATTCTCTAATAATAGAAGAGGCTCCCCAGAGCAATAAAAGGGTGCAAATTAGAGTACAATGCATTTATAAGTTGAAAGTTCTCTTTCACATTGACAAAAAGAGAAACAAAGCAAAAGAATGTGCAACGCTGAGTGAAAAAGATTTTTCAAAATTTGTTTTAATCCCCTTTTACACTTTTCTACAGATCTTATTATTCTAAATTTTCTAGACATTTAATCTATCAGATTACATCATGAAGTAGTAAAGAAAGTTTTTTTTCTCAAGCAGAAAGCAGAGTTTTAGCACTGGTCCTGAAACATTTCTCCTCCTTCGTTAACTTTTTTTAACCACCAAAAAACAGACTATGTGAAAAACAAAACCGACCTCTGAGATTTGTTGTGTTGTGTTGCCTAAATACAAAAAGCTGTACGACCAATCAGTGCAGATTAAGATTAAGAGCAGATTAAATGACTGTAAAAGAAAGAAAGAAAGTCACTTTCCGCGTTTAGGGGTCACCACAGCGAATCGTCACACTGACGACTCGCATATTGACATTTGGCACGTGGATTCAAACCTGGGGCACCGCAGCGAGAGCTCTGCATCTTAACCAGTAGCCTACCAGGGAAGGCAGCAGATTAAATGACTGTATTTGTGGATATATATGTTTCTAAAACTTCCATTGCTGGGGTTGTCAGAGCTAAAGACAGATACAGGACTGTCTGTCAGTCTCAGGCCAAACAACAGGTCACTATAAATACTGTGCTCCTTTCAGAGGTATCTTCGTCACAGAAAGTGTCTCCAGTTCAGTCCTGTGCACGCATCACTACATGATTTAATGGCTCCTGTGAACACAACTCAGAGGTCTTCCAGCTTTAAGTCAACATTGTCGTTGTAACAAAAGCTCAAAGAGAGACAACGAGCTGAGAGTCTGAGGGGGGTGGTAAAACCTGAGATTTAGAGAGACTGTAGACCACCACATAAGTCCTAAGACACCATCAAGTGTTGGACTCCTTTGTTGGACCCTCAGGGGCCAGAGTGGGGACCTGGGAGGGGTCAAAGGTCAGGGAGCAGAGGGCTGGCCTATGACTGATTATATAGGAGTGTTTACAAAGAGCCTGGATGACTTAATGCAGTGCTGACAGTCAGGACTTAAGAAAAATGAGTCAGAACAGAGTTAAAGAGCAGAGCTGATGGGGTGATATTGGTATTTGATCCAGGAGGAAGACAAATGGGTCCATTAAGGGCAATGGTAACTAATATTGTGAAAACTGTGCTTCAAGATAATATAGAAGGACAGGAGAACTTAGGTTAAGCCGTTTTGTTAGTGATTACACTGCACTTCTTTTACAGAAGTCACCTTAAAGAACTAACTGAGCTGTAGAAACCAGAACATTTTACTATAGCTCACATTTAGTGAGACAGCAGCTATGTTTTTATTATTATAATAACTGCAAATGAATTCTCTTATTAATCACTTAGTTGTTTAGCCTGTAAAATGTCATAAAATGAAGGTGTGCAGTTTCCTAGAGCAGAAGATGACATCATCAACTGCTCCCTTTTGTCTGACTAACGGTCAAACCCAAAGAACAGAACATTCTGTCATTTTACAAACACACTTTTACTATTTTTGCTTGAAGATGACTCAAGGATGAACTGATCTTATTTTTCCGTCAGCTAATTGATTGGTTGACTAATCGTTTCAGCCCTGTGGAGGTTATTTGGCTGCGGGCAGGTTGTAGTGATGGTTTAAGAACAATAGCTCACTGACTCAAACCCTGTGATATGTTTGGGAACATCATTAGCATGTCTGAACTTTAATTGGTGCTTTTCTTCCCAGTGTGTCTGAGTGTTTACAGTGTGTGTGTGTGTGTGTGTGTGTGTGTGATGGGGCTAATAGTCCCCACAGGGACAGTAGCTCTCAGGCAGGAAAAGGCTTTTCATCATTCATCGATGCTGCTGGCGGCGTGCTGGGTGATGGAGCTCAGATAAAGCTACACCTCCGCTGCAGTAATCACAGTGCTGCATCTAAACATACAGTAGGCTACTTAACACACAGCTTCTCACACAGTCCTCCAGCGTGGGCCTGTCACTCCATCAGCTCCCTTTATTGGTGTCAGATCATGTTGATGCACAGTCAGTCAAGCAAACGGGGGCTCTTTTCTCAAGGGTACCTTTTTATTTTGTCGCTGCGCTCAGATCATCCAGAGGCTTCTGTGACTCAACTAAAATGTGGAGAAGCTTTCAGTCCACCATCCTACATTCTGCTGACAAACAATCTGTAGTAGGAAAGCTGATATTAACCTGTAACCAGAGAGTGGGACAGTTCTTGGTTGATAAAGAGACTAAAAAAAAATTCATGCTTGAAAACTGCTGTTGATAAATAGACTAGTTGTTTCTGCTCCAGTTACAGTATGTGACTCCACAGACAGATGAATCTGTATTGAGAATAATTATTAACCCAGACTGAAATAACTGCACAGACAGTTGTGTAGTGATTTTACCTTTAGTTGTTTTTATGCCTCTGTGCCGGCGATAATGATGATGTTTTTGGGTTGTTTGTTTCATTCTTGTGAATGTGATATCTCAGGAAGGCCTTGAGGGAATTACTTCAGACTAGGCACAAGTGTCCACTTGGACTCAAGTATGAACTGATTAGATTTTGGTGGTCAAAGGTCCGTGACCTCATGTCAGTCCCACACTCATGAGGAATACTACTGCGAACTGTTTCCAAATCTTTAGCCTATAACAAAGCTTGATAGCTGTACATGTAGTTTTTTTTTTCCCATCCTGTTTATTATTTCTTCTGTGTTTAGTGTGAGGGACGTGGCTATCTTTTTTTTGTGAATGTATGTGTCTTTTTCTCAAGTCTTTTATGGATGTTTTTAGATTATGAATTATAATGTACAGGAAATTGGCCAACTGATGTTTTCAAAAGTACTTCATAGATAAAGTGTCATTAATTATCTTCAACCTTGTCAAACTATTTTAGTGGTTATTATTATTTTACTAATATCTAAATAAATTTTGTCAACAAAAATTTGGTCACAGGTTGAGGAACAGGTGGTGAGTTTTTGCTGCAGGAGCATTTTTGGTACATAACTTTATGAGACAGGGCATTTTTATGCTCTCCGTGCTGGTGATAGCCGTGGCAGCCGGAGGCACTGTGTTTATGGGCTGTCTGTCCCTCTGCACGGCCCATTCTCATGAGCACCACATCTCAGTAACACCTTGAGAGAATTTTTTTCAAATTAGGCACAGACATCCACTTGAACTCAGGGATGAAGTGATTAGATTTTGGTGGTCAAACCCAAATGTGGCCTCACATCTGTCCCATTTGATTTTGACTGGTTGGCAGAGGCACAGAACCTTGAAGTGGTAACTCTAGTTGATTAGTGCCTTTATTTTCTCATGCACTACTTGTCTGTAACTACAATATGTGTCTTTCAATGCAGATCCATGTCAGATGCAGATAAAACATTAGAAATGTTTTTAATGTCCTTAGAATAACTAATTTCTGCAGCAAACTTGTGCAGTGGTCTCAGCTCTGTGAGTGCCTCCTAGTTAATTTATTCATCTGATCATTATACTCAATGGAGGATATAGTATCCTTAGTTGAGCTACTTAGTGACAGACAGGGTAACACTGAATAAGGGATCAAATAAAATGGTAACATTCAGAATAGATTCACAGAAGAAGGAGAACAGAGCCAGAGGTTATGTTCAGTGAACCAGAAAGGCACCCAGCTCATCTTGCCAGAGTTCAGTCTGAACAATAGCTGACATACTTTCCTCCAGGCTCAGGTAGTTTTCAGCACCAATCCTCCACCATGGATTAATTACACCCTCACCGATGATCTGTGGAAGTCTGCTGCCCCTCCTGTACAGGTTTATTTACAGACCTCCATTCTGTCATGTTGTGATAGGAGGGAATGTTTAGTTTGTGTAAAGGCAAAGAAGCTGTCGCGATGACAGGTAGGACTGTGTTACGGCATGCAGACAGATCGAGTTGAAGAAGGCGTGGAGGTAAAATCAGCCATGACCTTACGCACAAATCAGTGTTATTAAGGGCGTGTTGGTGTTTGCGCAGGTCGGCTATTCATCACGGAGAATATTTCTCTTTATTGATGTGCGATGGTGTATGTGCTACTGCTTGTCTGTGTGTGAGAAACAAACACACACTGGGAATAAAGGAGGCTTCTTTTCTGCATCCCCATGAGACAAATTAGTATTTGAGTCTGTGCTGACGTCTCCGGCAGGTTGTTGGCTCGCTGTTTGGATGTGTTTCTATGGAGAGCGGTGCTGGAATGGGTCCCTGTGTATCGCAGCGATGGTGGGAGCTCTATTCTTTTGTCCCAGAGGAGAGACCCGAGCTGCCAGAAGCCATCAGACATCTGAGGAGGGACAAGAAACCGGCCGGCTACTGTGACAGAAACTCATTCAGTTTCCCAAGAGACTCCACAGCTGACCCCTCCAGACTGACCGCCACAACTGTCATTTGTGATTTTCAGTTGCTCACTTTCAATTTCATATAACCCTGAATCACAAAATTGGATGATAGCACAGTCATTGCTGCATTGAAAGTCTTTAGAAAGAACTAACAGAGCAAGAAGTTATTTTTCAAGAGAAAAAGGTGTAAT